ACACGTGAGGAACACAAATGCGAACAAGCCTGAATGGTCCCCAGGACAATATGCAACTGAAAACTCACACCCCAGAAGTGACTCGAACCCATACTCCCAGAAGCAACGCAACTGGTATGTACAAGACGCCTTGTGTGTGTGTGTGTGTCGGCAAATTTATCAATATGTGGCACAACTGGCCTTGCGTACACACGCGTGTACACACACACACTCAAGGGGGCCTCGCGGCAGAGTGGACAGCGCTTGGGAGTCGTAGTCTTAAGAGCCTGTTCGATTCCCGGCTGAGGCAGAAACAAATGGGCAGTTTCTTTCATCCTGGTGCCCTGTTCACCTAGCAGTGAATAGGTACCTGGTAGTTAGACAGCTGCTACGGGCTGCTTCCTGGGGATGTATGTGCGTGTGTTAGAGATAAATATATGTTGTAGATATAACTGAGGAAAAAATGGTTAGAAATGCGGGGTCCAAGAGCTAATAGCTCGATTCTTCAGACATAAATAGTAAATACACACACACACACACGCACACACACACACACTTCCTGGTACAGCACACCTCCCCACCCCCCTGTACTTCTCTGAGGCCGCCTTGGCTCCTGTCCAATTTCACCTTTACTGTCTGTGTTAGCTTACAGTTGCCAAAATTTACATACCCAATTGAAACGTGAACAGATTAAAACTTTTTGTAAGTAGTAATTTTATATATGTAAGTAGTAATTTATATATATATATATATATATATATATATATATATATATATATATATATATATATATATATATATATATATATATATATATATATATGTTTCATTGAATATGACCGCATATTCTGTATTTATTATTTTCTGGTTTAGGGCTTCTATCCCTCTAACTATTTTCTTAGCATCAGGGCTTAATTGAAATAGGAGTTCTCCAAAACTCATTTTCGTACTTTTAAGGTGAAGAAAAGAAGTGATTTACTATAGAGTGTATTACACTTATTTGTATAATTTGCACGACGTTTCGAACCTCCATGGTTCATTCTCAAGTGAACAGATCTTACAATACTAGTTGATTTTATACCCGCATTAGGTCAGGTGATAATACAATGAAGGTGAAAACATGGGGGGATACATAAGGGATAAACATAGGGGCTGCAGAAAGCTTATTGGCCCATACGAGGCATCTCCTATCTAAACACAAAGATTAATCCAGTGTAATTGGCCTGTTATGTTGGACATAACAGGCCAACATAACATGTCTTCGATGTCTTCTGTGTTGGCATCGATATGTTCTTGTCTTGTCCTTACAAGAACATATCGATGCCAACACAGAAGACAATGTCCAACATAACAGGCCAATTACACTGGATTAATCTTTGTGTTTAGATAGGAGATGCCTCGTATGGGCCAATAAGCCTTCTGCAGCCCCTATGTTTATCCCTTATGTATCCCCCCATGTTTTCACCTTCATTGTATTATCACCTGACCTAATGCGGGTATAAAATCAACTAGTATTGTAAGATCTGTTCACTTGAGAATGAACCATGGAGGTTCGAAACGTCGTGCAAATTATACAAATAAGTGTAATACACTCTATAGTAAATCACTTCTTTTCTTCACCTTAAAAGTACGAAAATGAGTTTTGGAGAACTCCTATTTCAATTAAGCGCTGATGCTAAGAAAATAGTTAGAGGGATAGAAGCCCTAAACCAGAAAATAATAAATACAGAATATGCGGTCATATTCAATGAAACATGTTTGAAAGAAAACCTGCTGCCAGTATACACCAATATATATATATATATATATATATATATATATATATATATATATATATATATATATATATATATATATATATATATAGAGAGAGAGAGAGAGAGAGAGAGCTGCTATATATAGACCTTAGAGCGGCGAGCTTTCTCTTCCAGCGCCTCACTGTAGCTATCCAGAGGGGGAATGCCCGCTGCATCCTCGGTTCCTGCCCGGCATCGGAGGAGTTTCAAGGAATCTATTTTCTCTAGGAAACAATCTTCCCATTATTTCCTCATTAATGTCCACATTTTGAAAGCCAATGAGCTATATAACTGTGTAATCTTCTATAATAAAGTGTACATCACAAATAATAAAAAACGGGATGGTAGGAGAGATAAATGGCAAGTTTTTTCTGGATACTCTTTATTCCTTTATCTGAGGCAATCGCTCCTTATATATATATATATATATATATATATATATATATATATATATATATATATATATATATATATATATATATATATATATATATATATATATATATATATATATATATATATATATATATATATATATATATATATATATATATATATATATATATATATATATTTTTAATATACGAAAGTACTTAAGGAAACTCCTGTTTCATTTATCCTCCGTGGTCTGACATTGTCACATTCTTAATCACGTGTTTATTTTCGTGATATACACACACACACATATATATATATATATATATATATATATATATATATATATATATATATATATATATATATATATATATATATATATATATATATATATATATATATATTAAGGGAGTACCACCTCTGGCTGGAAGAGGTGGGACCAGCTAGGCGTTCCATACACCATCGCATATCTAGTATCTTACCCATTACACCACACTGACAGACTGTTTCACAACAACAGTCAATATATTTATAAATTATTTATCAACAATTATATACCTAAATCTTTTCAAGTGTTTCAGGTTTCAGTACTATAGGAATCACGTGTACTCGATTGTAACCGTCCCATCCCTAACCATTGGAGGAGTATGGGGCCCAGAGTATACTACCTGGCTGTGATAACACAATTTTCATCTAGAGCAAATGCCTCCAATTCTGACAACTTATTTCGTATGTTGCATGTATTTATATAAAACTTTTAATATATAGTCTTACTGAATCAGCAAATCTTAAAATTCCCCCCAGAAGGCAAATTATATCCAAAACCTTACTACAAAAAGATAGTATCTGGAGATATGATGAAGATATATGGAGATACGTGGCTGAAAGTATGATGACCACACCACACATCAGAAAGTAAAGAAACGACGACGTTTTGGTCAGTCCTGAACTGTTATCAAGCTGTCGCGGCTTGATAATGGTCCAGGACGGACCGAAACATCGTCGTTTCTTCATTTTATGATGTGTGGTTTTGTCATCAAAAGTTGTGATATATTCTAAACATGTTTAGAACCTGCCATATATATTGATATCCCAGTTTAGACTACAATGTCAATATCTATGGCAGGTGGCTGCAGGTAATGAATCCCCCCATTGGCGAACATTCCAATTATAAACTGTGTGGAGAAGAACTATGAAATACTCTCCAACACTATTTTTGTGATTGCCCTGTAATCAATTAGTTCAGACCAAATGGTATGAGATACTTTGAGCTCTGTAATTACTTCATACACTCACAAATACTGGAAGATATTCTTGTGCTCTACCCAGATTTTGCTAGTGGAGGCTAACAGATCAGCCTGGCATTTCATATTCTCTCCTGATTCCATGTATGGTATGACTAACCATCCTATGAGATGGGGATATTAGATGAACTTATGGCTAGTTTTTTATTTACTCTTAGTAATCCTAGGGTAGCAGCACATTGCTGTGTTAGTAGCTAAACTTGTTAATAAAAAAGAGTTGTGTATTGTCTGACAATTATATCAAAATCAGATAGAAACTAACAAACTGAAATGGGAAAACCTGAAAGTTGGTGATCAGAGATTTTGATTTTCCCTCCAAAAGTGCAGCGTCACAAATCCTCAACAACTTTCGTTTTAATTATATAACTTGCTTTGTAAATACATTCCAATGACTTGTTTTAGTTAATCTGACTATGTTTTATGTTTTCATAGGAAAATAATAATAATAATACAAAATACAAAATATGCTGTTTGGAAGCTCACCATTATTGTAAGATTTTCTTGCTACTAAAATATATTAATTATTTTTAATTATTTTATATCAAAATACAGTACTTAAAGTGTTGACTGATTTTTTAAATTAAGCTCAAAAATAGCTAAAAATCTTAGAATACTGTAAAAAAATACAAAATATCGAAAAAATTACACGGAATTGACTGTGAAATCCTTCACTTATGATAAATCTGAAAACAAACCTCTATTAACCTTGATGCTAAGGTCCCCAGCTACACTAAGCTGATTCTTACAACAGTTCACCACACGTGGTTTGTTTACACGAATCTCGTGGTACCAGTTTTGTTTTTGTTTACTTCACAGTTCGACCAATCAGAAATCACTTCGACGTTCTCTTCCAGCCAATCATACGTAGGCTCTTTGTTGACAATGTTTATTCGTCTCAATTTATGAATTGTGATTTTGGCTACAGATTTTACGGATAAATATCTTTAGTTAACAGATATATATGTATATGTGTATGTGCTTTAAAATTAACTCTTAACCAAATCATAGGTGCATTACAGTTCCATCTGATCTTGAATATAATAACAACAAATAAAATTACAAACGATTAGGGACACCTTATTCGAACACAATAATGACGTCACGATACGACGTCTAATTTGTTGTTGGCTAATGCACGATGCTTTACCTTGGCGTATAATCGAACAAACATAATTACTAATACAAAATGAAATTACAATAACGAGCTTTCTAGTTTTCCTTTCGAATCAACATCCACATACATATATTCCTCATTTGCGAATAAGCATTTCACCTTAGTGTCAGGTACGAGTGTTCTCTTTCAGCATTAACACACTGCAGTGCCCTTGGCTAGGCCGAACGGTGTTTAACCTGACTAAACTAGCGACTCACACGCTATTCACGGCGCAACTCACGTAAACAAATAATATAAAATAACACAATTATTGCAATAGCTTAATTATCTATATATGACAACATCAATCTATATATATTTGCTGCGCTGAAGTTCAATAATTTTAGTATGGTGTACGATAATTTCACTTGTTGGTGCGTATGACAACACGGGGTTGGAGTTGCCATGCGCGGCGCCTCATATAAAACCTGCAACCCACCTCGCGCGCAATCAAAACAAAACTCAAGAGCTTCTGAGGAGCGTAGTGTTAAGACTTTTAGTGTGTTGCGGGAACATAGTCAGACGAAGATGAAGCCCAAGTTCGGAAACGACTTAACTAATGTTATCCTCCGCCAGTCTCAGGTGGTGCAAACCCGTATGGCTGGGAGGGCAGTCATCAAGGTGGTAAACAGATGCAATGATGCAAAGGAAAACAACAGTCTCAGTACGTGTTGATGTTGCTTTTGGTTACACATTATGTGGAGATGTAGCACTGTATTGTGTGTTGTGTTTAATCTGAGGGAAGTATACGGAATAGTTGTTAATGTTTGTTGCACGATCATGTGAAAATGTGGCATATTAGTTAATGTTTGTGGGAAGTGGGAGTATGTTACTGCATTTGCAAGCATGGTATAGCACAGTAGATGTAGGTATTACTGACTGTCAACTCTTCATAGGCACTGTAGAACACATGATACGGCAGAATTGTAGTCATACATTACTTCATTATGTGTTGAATTGAGATGTAACAATTTCTGCATTATTCCTTCAAGTACAAATTTTGTTAAATGTAGTTCTCACAAGAGTAAAATTTATCACATGTCCATTCGAAATTTATTCTCAACAGGTTTCTTATGAAACGGTGGAAATTTTCCCAGTGTGACGGTATCGATAGGGAAATAATCATTGTTGAAACAGCTGTGCTTTTCGAGAACGTAAACTTGACAAAGCTAGTTTGTGAATAGTAAATCAATTCTTTTGATCGTCTTAATTTAATTAAATTAAAATCAAGTTTGGTTTTACTAAACTCAGTGGAATAAAAAATAAAGCTTTGGGCGATTTTTAAAGCAGCAGATGTAGCAATTATCCAGCTTTAAACAATAACGCAAATGAAATTCCCCAGAATTTTAGGCAAATCATTTTGGTATGCAAGACAGGAAGGTGTTAAAACTGAGGCGAGGAGCTCGAGAACAAAGCCTTGCCTCCATCCTTCTCTGTTCACTGCGTTCACTATGTTTCGTGTTGAGCTCAAGTCCGATCAATCGCGGGAGGGTTTATTATGGCAGTGACACTGTTATACTTAACAACCAGCAAATGTACTTTAGACCTAAAAATGATTTATGATTAAAGGAAAGGGAATGTATATGCAGCGAGAAGCGGGGTTCACCTCTACTCTGTATATATTTCTTGCTGCGTCGTCTGCACCAGCGGCTCATTGAATCCTTGCCAAAGGTGTCTACTTTATAAATTTGTCTTTAGTCTACATGCAGATGATATAAGATACGACGCTTGAAAAGTGCGCGTATCTGCCATGTAAGTTTATTGTAAAACTGATAACAAAAACGCCATGCATAGTAGGTCTAATGAAAAAAGCAAAATAAAGAGGAAACGTTCGAGACGAAACGATTCATATGAACATATTAAATGGAAGAAATAAGAATCTGCTTAAACGTATATATTTGTCTTAAAGTCTTCAGAAGTAACGTATTTGCATGTATACGTTTTCGTGACATTTTAATTAACCCGGCGTGGATCATTTCACTAAAAACGGTATTTTTGGTAACGTTGGCAAGCATGGCTGCCCCCCTCCCCCTTCCCGGCTCAGCTGATGTGATGACGTAACACTACGTCACACACGCACAATATTCCTCACCTCCCACAAACGTTCTCTCCAGCCCAACACTTTAAAACGTTCAAAATTACTACATAACGTTTGAATATTTGCAAACATTCTTTCCGTTATTAGTGTTTTATTTCAAATAGTAGAAAATCATATACAGTACAGATTTTTAATCGAGTTAATTGACGTAGTAAAGTTTATCCATACCCCTCGTCGAAATGATGTGCTCATGCGTGTATGCTTTTGGGCAGGGAGGATTAGCTCTTGGACCCGTCTCTTCTTGAACTGAGTTAGATAACCATCAATTGCTAGACCTGTTCACTACTCGTACGCTAAAAAGTAGTATGCTCTTTGTTACATCCCCCGTGTTCATTTATGTTTCAATTTCCCGTCCCTCCCGTTTTCTTTTTTGATTTGAAGAAGTCTGTCTATATCAACTCTTTTGCCTCTCGGTATCTTGTATGTCGTGATCATGTATTATTTGGTTCCCTTTTCAGTGATTGAAAGGTAAGCTTCTTAGGTCTGTTCTCACAGCACATATCTCGCATTTTTTGTATTTTATTATAATACACGAACCTTGTGGCAAATCGCCAGGTTTGTGTTCTTCACAGTTGTGTGCGAGATCGGGATGGTGTAGTGCAGACGTGATTTTATTTTTAAGTTATTAGTATTGGGAGTTACGCTTTTGCATTGCCTAAGTAAATCTTGGCTGATGATATCTTAGAAACTTGAATAAGAGCTTTCTCATACATATTCTTTTTGTTTTCACAGGACTATTTGTCGTCATTTGTTTTCATTCCTTGGGCATCCTTTTTTTTAAATATCATTATTTGGAAAACTTTAGCAGATGACAGGAAACATTTGATTCATTGTACTACTCGTAATGGTCTCGAAGTTTACACTGAACAAGCCATCGTTCGCAAGCTTCACCAAGCACAAGGCTTCTTTCACGCATCGTGAGCCTGTTTCACGCTGATTATAGGTAAGGTCGTGGAGGGATCACGCAACGTCAAGGACGCTAAGCAAACCATGGAAGCTGCTCTTGCGAATTAAAAAAAAAAAGTGGCACGGTTCAAATTGGAAGGAACAGTACACCTTCGTGTGTGGGAGCTGCCAAATACACAGTGTTGGGGCAACCGGTTTTCCCCGTCCTTCAATTGTCAGCAGCTGAGCTTTGTTTAAAACAATATGCGAATCGCATAAGCAAGAGATCAAGAATATTTAACTTGCAAGGACATACAATCAGGTTTGCTTTGATAAATTGCTACAAAAAAACGCTTGGAAGTAGCCTATACAGATCAGGTTAATTGCCCAAATAAAAACTTGCTTTAGAATACTGATGCTAAACAACAAGAATATTTGAATTTATTTTGACAATAAACATTGGGCGGGCGTGTCACTCAAGAAGGCTGGAGAACCAATACAATTGTTTTTTCTTACACGAAAAACAGTCTTACAATACGGACATTACTGATGCACTAATCAGAAATAAAACATTTCCCAAGTTTAAATTTATAATAGGAGAAAGTTACATATTAGTCAAAATGATTTACCGAATAATGATTTCAGATGTTGTTGAACTTGATGAGGAAACTCGGCCGGGCAAACGAAGAATTGTCTGAAAAATATGGGTATGAGGATCTTAGCTGTAGGCCCTCATGAGGGCACGCGTGCGCTGGACTCCACCAAGTAGTCTCCTGGCACAAAAACATTACAGTACATAAAACATTTTATAACTGGGCGTGTGTAGTGGTGGGTGAGCACTGGGTGAGAGGTACTCGGGTGGGGGCGGGAGAATTCTGGGGTATGGGTAACGGGGTTTCATAGGTGATGGGGGCTGGGAGAGGTTGGGGAGAATAGCATTACTTGAGATGGGATCCTTTGTAACTTGTGAGGCCATCTGGCGAGGTCCGCACCCAAGTACCTGCTGCAATCAACAGGGAAATGAAAGTGATATTTGTAGTGACAAGCTACAGTGTGTTTGCTGTTCTACATGGTATATATGATGTGGCTGAAATATGAGTTTAAATGTTATTATTATTATTAGTAGTAGTAATAGTACAGTAGTAGTAGTAATAGTACGGCAGTAGTAGTAGTAACAGTACAGCAGTAGTTGCAATGGTGCTGAACATTGAGGGGGGGAAAATGAAGGTGGTAGCGGTGTCATTAATTATAGTGATGATTGTTCACTCTGATGTGTGCCATAATGAAAAGTGGACCTTATTTGAAAACGCGCTGCGCTCTCAAGGTAAATTCGCTAATAATCTTAATAAATCTAAACCAAAACTATGTATTGCTCGGTGTAGGGAGGGAGCCGGTCGGCCGAGCGGACAGCACGCTGGACTTGTGATCCTGTGGTCCTGGGTTCGATCCCAGGCGCCGGCGAGAAACAATGGGCAGAGTTTCTTTCACCCTATGCCCCTGTTACCTAGCAGTAAAATAGGTACCTGGATGTTAGTCAGCTGTCACGGGCTGCTTCCTGGGGGTGGAGGCCTGGTCGAGGACCGGGCCGCGGGGACACTAAAAAAAAAAGCCCCGAAATCATCTCAAGATAACCTCTCAAGATAAGATTGTGGATATGTTAGATAGAATGTTGTGATACATTGCGCTATTTCAATACAAACCTGAGAGCTGTACTACTTGTTGTTAAAAAGCAGTTACCGCTGCACTCCTGGTACAATGACGGTTATGTCATCGCTATTATTACTGTATAATGTCAAGCAGGGCAAGACTACGCGGGGCCTGGATTCAACATATCCACAATCCTTAGGTTAATTTAGTCATTCGTACGGTATATTATTAAGACGATTCTGGAGTCATTCCTGAGAAACTGTTCCTCTTCGATACGGTCCACTTCTTTCCTCAACGACTCTTGAACACTTGTCCTCTTGGGCCAAAATGTAACTTTTGTCTTTTCTATTTTTCTACTCAGGGCCGCCTTAACAGCATTATGGGCAAACCAGTGTGCTGGGGCCCTCACGACAACTACTCACAGGAATAAAAAGTAAATGGTCGATAATATTAAACATATTTACAATTGATATGTTTGTCCTGCACACCGCCGCCCCCCCCCCCCCCATCCAGTAGGCAGCGGTGGATAGGTTACAATCACGTGTCCAGAATAGAGAGGAAAGTTTCCACCTTGAATTTTTTGGCTTTAATGAGAAGTTCCTCATCTGCTAATCTATCATATCTACTAAGACTCGCACTTCGTTTTCGTTACTGTTTTTCCATCACTGTAATCCGTATCTGGACACATACTCTTGACTTTGAATTAATATTCACTAAATTTGTCTCTAGTTTCCTGAAGACAGGAGTTTATAGACTCAAGAAGATTCGTGGCAACAAGGATGGTCACATCCTTTGATTGCAGGACCTTGTTTTGTTCATTCTTTCTAGCGTGTCATTCCAAAGAATTGTGAGAAAAATTGTTTCCAGGTTTTCCAGTTTTTGCTCAATCTTTCGGCTTCTCGCCTTGTATTTACTTGCTGTTCATTGTCAGCTGATAGAGAATCCAGTGCCTGTTGTATTCCCCCCCTCCCCTATACAGTACTCACTAGGTGAGTACAGAGCATGAACAGCATCAAAATGTGCTGACCATAGTG